ACAATAGCCAAGTTATGGAAGCAGCCAAGATGCCCCACTTCTGATGAATGGATTAAGAAAAATGTGGTATTTATACACAATGGAATTTTATGCAGCCACAAAGAAGAATGAAATCTTACCATTCACAAGTACATGGATGGAACTGGAGAACACCATCTTGAGAGAGGTTAGCCAGGCTCAGAAGACAAAAAAATCCTAAGTTCTCACTCATTTGTGGGATATTTGTGCCCTCATTTATATATAGGGCAAATACAGCAATGTGGTTGGACTTGGGTCACATGCTAAGGGGAGAGCACATATGAGAAGAACGGGGATAGGTAAGAAACCCAAAACTTGAAAGTGTTTGATGTCCCCACTGCAGAGGAACTTATACAGAAACCTTAAAGTGACAGGGGTCAATATGGGAAGGTGACCGGGAAGTAGTGAAGAGGTCAGGTACAGATGAATCAATTCAGACTGTAATACACTTGTGCATGGAAGCAATGCTAAGAATCTCTCTGTATAGCTATCCTTATCTCAACTAGCAAAAACGCTATGTCTTCCTTATTATTGCTTATGTCTTCTCTTCAACAAAATTAGAGAAAAGGGCAGAACAGGTTCTACCTGGAAGTGATGGGGATGGGGGGAGTGATGGGGTGGGGAGCAGGGGGAGAGAAATGATCCAAACAATGTATGCACATATGAATAAAGAAAATAAATAAATAAATAAGTACAAGTGAGAAACAACTTAAAGGAAGAAGATTTACTTAGGATCATGATTTTTTACATTTATGTCCAAGGTCAGCAGGCTCCATTTTTTCTTGTCTGTGATGACAGATAACAAAAAATCTTGGAGCAAAGCTGCTTATCTCATGCCAGGAAGCAGGATGGATTGAGGAGGAACAGGGGACAAGACGCATCTTTCTTGGCTGCATCCCCAATTACTTACCTCCTCTACTTGTGTCTCACTTGCCACTTTTGACCTCCTCTCATTAGTGACAACATCTTAGGAATCCATCACTAGATCACTCAATTGATTAGATCAGAACCTTCAGGATCCAATCCTAAAGCCCATCACATTATAGCCAGGTAACAATGCACGATTCTCTTGGAGCATTTTCTATTCAAACAACAGTAATATTCTATTTTAAAATTACTTTAGCATACTATTCTGATAAAAACAAATAAATAAAAAGAATGAATTTATGTTGATAATTTTATTCTGGAATTTTGAAATTAAATACTTTTATAGCAGTCTGCTAGGTACCTTTTTTTGTTCACATTTATTTTGATATGGTGATGAGGAAATTAACAGAATTTAGACTGCACCAAATGCCAGCACTTAACCTCCCATTGATTTACCTCCATTTGCTGTGGAGAAGCTGAGACAGACTGTAGTGCAGTTGTAATATTGACCAAATATGTTGATTTTATATAAGTGAATATTTTCTACCTAATATTTTCTATATAATAGGGAAATAACACACTTCATATAATCTTCCTGATGTCATGAAACTCACTCATTTTGATACCCTCATCAATAAAATTATGGTGTATTCTATGATCATTCTTATTGGTATTTCCTTGTCCTGGAATTATTTTCTCTTTGTCAAAGATTACCTTTATCCTGAGAATTTCATCAGCCAGGGACAAGTACAAAGCCTTTTCCACCTGAGTCTCACCTGTTGTTGATCTCATGTTGGATGATATTGGCTGTGTTAGTGCTAAATCCCTTATTATAAAAATTTGTCACAAACAACCAACTTTTGAATTGAGTGTATTCTGTGACCATTATAAATGTGTTTCTCTTTCCTTGGGATTATTTTCTGTTTGGATTTAAATTTTTCTCTGACAATAAAAGAAGTTGAGATAAACAATGTGCCTCAAGGGTCCTTAGGTGAAATTTCTGCTTCTCTGTTGGAATTTTTACTTACTCATGTGACAAACCCACACTATACAGATGGAGGAGGAGAGGACAATAATGCAAAGACAATGTCCCAGGCAACAGATGGGACAGCAGTAAGGTGAGTTTCTAACATATTAGAAAGCACAGTCATGACCAGGAGAGCCTCTCCAGCTGACATTTGATGTAGTCTAAATTCTGTTAATTTGCTCATCAACATTTCAAAATAACTGTGAACAAACTAAGGTACCTAGCAGACTGCTATAAAAGTATTTAATTTCAAAATTCCAGAATAACATAAACATAAAAGACAAGATGGGGTCAGAATATCTACCCAATATGCAGCCCCACTGATAATGATGATTCATTCACCCATTTGCTTTTAGGATTCAGTGTTATGCAACAACAGCAAACCCTTACAACATCTAATGGAAATAAAATTGGGATAGTTTTAATATACTGCTACTTCACATTTTAGACAATTGTTGTGAAATTTACGGTCAATGCCCATAGTTATCTTGCCATTCAAGTTTATTTTATGTTACTGTATTTAAAAAGGATGACATCGGGCTTACTTTCCAGGATGTGTGTGAAGAAAGTTTATGGGCTGAAATCATGTGACTAGGCAGAAATTATGCTCTTTTGCTCTTCATGTTTTAATTACAAAGTTGAACAGAAAGAGATGAGCATAAAAGAGATATAGATAAATGATATTGATATTGTGTGTTCATTAGCCTTTGTTATTGCAAAGTTCATGAAATAATTCATTAGAAAAATGGAAGGATTCATGTTTCCAGGGTGAATCTGGTGGTTCTCAAGAAGAAATTGAAAATCAATTGAATATTAAGTCATAATTCATGTTTATTAGCCCTTATGGATAGACAATTTTACATATAAACAGTAATCTTCTATAGATCATTACATTTACACTAGGCCAAATAAATATTTTGCATAGTAGCACAATGTAAACATTTATCTCATCACATTTCAGGTCCCTGCTCATTCTGAGGTGAAGTTAACAAATCTGTGAATTCAAGTTTGTCTTTCCATATAGACTTCACTTGAAGAGACAAATAAGATCAACAGTTTTTGCTAGTGACTCTGCTAGGTACTATGTACAAAAAGAAGAATTAAAAAATGACATTGTAATGATAAGAAGAAAGACAAGTGACTAGTTATAAATCACATCAATTTGCTCAATCTTACTGTCATGAAGATCATTTAAGATGGTGATGCATGAAGGAAGAAGGGACACACAAATGAAAAAGTGTCTTTTTAATTTCCTCTAGCATAAAATTATATACATTGCCCTAGATTCAAAATGGGGAATTTTAATAGTTGGAGAACAATATGTCTTTGTTTTTTAGCAACAACAAAAGAAAAATAACTTGCTGTGACCGATGTCATTTGAGGAGAAATTTTTCTTTTTCACTGCATTATGTGGTTAGTCAAATATTAGTCTATTATACCCGGTGAGGATTTGTTGCATCATGAGCAAATATTTCTTATAGAACATAAGAGGATAATTCCTTTCTGCTCTAACATTTAATTTTCCCCATTCAAATACATAAAATCAATGTTACATGTTTTTCAACTTTATTTTTATTTATCATATAATAACAATTTGAGAAGACTTCTTTTGTCTTTTTTCTCCTAATCACATGCTAATAATCCAAGGGAATTTTACTGTGATAATTTGATATATATATATATATATATATGGTGTGCCTTTAACAAGTTCACCTCCTCCATCATTTTTCCCATTTAACCTCTCTCTCTCCTGCCTTCAGTGTTTGGTGGGTTTCATTATGCGGGTTCATATGTGCATATGCAGTGCACTTCCATCCTTTTCACCCTATGGCAAAAATTAAATCTATTTTAGGAAGCATGGAAGAATTATTCAGTTATTTAATGAAGAACCATCATCCTTTGTTCTCTCAAATTGTGCTGTTTGCCTTTTTTGCCAATTATTTAGCCAGAAACTACACTGAATAATATCCCTTCCTCCTTTTTTAGTGAAATGTAATCTGTTTAATCAAGAAAATAAAACAAAATCAGAAATCAGGTATCTCTTGCCTGGAAACTTTTTGCTACTGAGATAGGATGAGAATAGGTATTCTCATCCGAAAATTTATTAAGCTGAAATGAAGCTTATGAAGCTGAAATGGACAGATATTCTTCCCTGATATGCTACAACCACAACTATGAAAAGAGACTGTGACTCTGTGATCCTAAACTGGGCAAGTTGGTCTGTTTGCATTTGTTTTTTATATTAATTTGTTATCTTTAACATTTATGCTTAAGTCAATGAACTAAGGGAATTGAATCAAATTTTTTAAATTCCATGTGAGTTTAAATCAATATACAATAGATCTACCTGCATACACATATATATTGTAGCTATCTTCACAATACCCAAGCTGTGGAATTAGTTGAGGTGCCCAAACTGATGAATGGATGAGGAAAAATTGGGTCAAATAGTGAGTATCATTGTGACATTTTCATATATATTGCCAATATGTTTTGGTAATATTCACCCCCATTACCATCTTTTATTTCCATTCTCACCCCTTGGGCCTTGACCCTTTTCAAATAGTTCCCCTTCTGATTTTATGTCTTTAAAAATCTATTCTGCATATGATACTACATATGTGCTGTTATGTGAGTCTGTCCTTATCTACTGAACATCCTCCTTTCTAGTCCATTTGAATTTATTCTCCTGCAAATGAATTGATTTCCTTCCACTTAATGGTGGAATAACAACTCTATTGTATTAAAGGCTTTGTGTGGGATGCCTAGACACGGCATTCTGTGAGACATGAGTGGAGTTTGAACCATTGGGACCTAATTCTAACAAAGCAATTTAGAGATCAGTGGGGATTTCGAATATTTATTACACAAAATTAAAATATCTTTAAGGAAGCATTGAAATGATTAAGGGAGCACTGCTTAGGTGTCAGAGACAGCAGGAAGCTAAACACATTGAGCTGAACAAAATGTACTAAGGTTTTCAATAAAAGAAACAAAAGTTCCACAAAATAAACAGAAAGAGCAAATTCTACTTACAAGATTTAACAAAATATTGTTATTTATTCTTCTGAGGCTTCAAACCTTGTGGTCAACAGCACTTTTGTAGGTAAAAGTCAACTGCCAGTTTTATAGTTTCCCTACTAAAGAGTTTTTTCAATGCTGACTTGATGTCCTTATTTCTCAGACTGTAGATGAAGGGGTTCAGCATGGGGGTGACCATGGTGTACATCACTGAAGCTGTTGCACTTGATTTTGAACTTTGAATCACAGCAGAGCTGAGGTATACTCCCAGGAGTGTGCAATAAAATAAGGAGACAACAGAGAGGTGAGATGCACAGGTGGAAAATGTTTTGTACTTCCCCTGAACTGATGAGATTGTGCAGATGGAGAAAACTATCTTGGAGTATGAGTAAAGGATGCCAGTGAGGGATCCACCACCCAGCAAGGCAGCTACAAAATACAGCACCATGTTATTAAGAAATGTGTCAGAACAGGTAAGGAGAACGAGCTGATTAGGTTCACAGAAGAAATGTGGGATTTCTACCTCTGTGCAAAAAGACAGCTGCAAAGCCATGAAACTTTGTAACAAGGAATTCAGGGAACTTGTGATCCATGATACCAACACCAGAAATCCACAGAAGTGGGGCTTCATGATGACCATGTAGTGCAGTGGATGACAGATGGCCACAAAGCGGTCATAGGCCATCACAACCAAGAGGAAATTGTCCAGACCTATAAATAATGTAAAAAAATAAATTTGAATTATGCAGCCTTCATAAGTTATGGTCTTGCTCTGTGTCTGGACATTCACCAGCATCTTTGGGACAGTGGTAGAGGTGAAGCAGATATCCACAAAGGACAGGTTGGAGAGGAAGAAGTACATGGGTGTGTGCAGGAGGGAGCCTGAGATGGAAGCCAAAATGATGAGCAGGTTCCCAAGCATAGTGACCAGGTACATGCACAGGAAAAGTACAAACATAAGGGGCTGCCATTCTGGGTCCTCTGAAAGTCCTAGAAGAAGAAATTCTGAAGTTCTTGTATCATTCCCTGGTTCCATGTGGTATATGTCCCTACCAGGAAAGAGGAAATTAGCATCACTACTTTTTGTATTTTTTCAGAATAGGATATTCCCTGTGCCATCTCTGATTAGGAAATCCTATCTCTTTATCTGGCTTTTCCTCAACATATTGTATGTCCTATTGTTTTCTTGCCTTTTGAGGAATGCAAATTAAGTACTAACCATGTTTCCAGCACATTCTGGACAATAAGCGTAGGTTGTTGAATGATAATAATCCCTGTAATCCAGTCATGGAGAAAGAATGAAAGATAAATTATTTTTGAAATGGAATTAGAAGAGGATTTTAATATTTTAAGCAAAAAGAAATGATAGATGTTTTATAAGGTAGGTTTGAACATTGCACAATGTGTATATGCATTAAAATACCACAAGACTCCCTTAAATATGTAAACTCTTTAAGTATAAATTACACATAAACAAGTTAAACACTATATTGCATTCTTCATAAGGCTATGAAAACAATAACATGGACAGGTAAAATGGAGAGTGAATTTGACCTCCCCTTTTATGAGGTCCAACAAAGAAAGGAAAACAATGTGACACTGAAAAAGAGATGTCAGAAGAGGGTAACAGAGCCATAAGACTCATGTGCCTGGGAAGTGGAATAAGCAGTACTAAGGCCCTGAGAACTGGACTTGGTCCATATATCCAAGTTCACAATGAAGACATGTGACAGGCAAGCAAACAAGAGGAAGGTGTAATAGAAATCCTGTCTGAGAGGTTGAAGGAGGAAGTGACTTCCATGATGCTGCAGAACCATGATGATTCTCAAGATACAGGGAGTCAATTGTTTCCAGGTTTCCCTTGTAACTTTGTTTCAAGCAGCTTTATTGAGGCATAGTGAAATATGAAGAATGGAACACATGTAATGGGTACAGGTAGATGAGTTCAGACATATGCAAATCCTGGTAATATCATCACCACAATCAATGTTACAGACATATCCATCATCCCCTCTCAGAGTGTCCTGTGCCCCTTTTTTGTTTTATTTTTCTCTGTAATAAAGGACACTAACATGGGTCACCCTTAAAGCCAAGGTTTGTATACACAACATCATATAGTTGCACTGGACCCCATGCTGTACAGCATGTGTCTAAAAATTTACCGTATTACGTAACACACTTTATACACATCACATAAACAGTTCTATATTTCTCCTCTTGCGCTCCCCTGACTCCACCACTCTACCACATGCATGTATGAATCTGACTAATTCAGATGTCTTGCGTATATTTGGATCTTAAAGGCATCTTTATAATTCAAAGTGGATGCTTCCTTAATTTCCTTGTTTGTTAGGAATCAGGGGGTCAGTATGAAAATGGTCACAGTCATATTACCCATGTCATTTTGGATTCTTTTCATCTGGATGTCTGAAGGCTAAACTACAGAGAAAAATAAATGGCAATCCACACGATGGGTTTAAAATCAAAATACTGTGCAATTAAGTTTTACTCACCCATAAAGAAGAATGATGTCATTTTCAGGAAAATGGATGAATTCTGTCTTCAATTTAGATATTGCCATGTTATGTGAAAAAAGCCAGTTTCACAAAGACAAGAATCATCTGCTTTCCCTCATATGTGAAAAGTATTATTAAAAGGGAGACTACTAGGGAAGTGGAAGAGGAAAATGGAGGGGGCATAAGAATCGGATATAGGGTGTAAATATGATCAAAGTACATGTAGGCATGTGTGGAAAAGACATAATGAAAACCATTATTTTGTACAATTATTACATATTACTAAAACACATACAACAAATAAAAAAATCACAACTTGAACAGAGAATGACTCTACAAAAAAGAAAATTTCTCTGATGAACATAGATGAAAAGATACCCATAAGAAAATCATAGCAAAATTAAATCAAAAATATGTTAAAAGGATTATTCATAATTTGGAAAACATGAGCTCAGGAAATCTGGCTATGAAGATTTCTCAATGTGCAACAGTTTCTATAAAATGCTCTGTCTGTCATAACAATCTCTCCTTTTTCTTTACAGGACTTATCCCTGAGGAGTTATACCATACCTGCATTTGTTCCATTGTGGTTCACAATTGTAGTTCAAAATTATATCCACTATAATGAAATAACCAACTAAACAGAGATATTACCTGCTTCAGCCTCTTTTTCTGTTTCACAAATTTGAATATTTATATAGAAAAAACAATAAATTAAGAGTTTATAAAATAAAATTATGAGATAAACACTATATTGCATGAAATTAAATAAAATCTAAAACTCTGAATGAATATATCTAAAACAATTAAATCACATGAGTGAATGTGATTCTCTATTTCAATATTTGATTGACAAATTCCTGCAAATAAAAGATGAAAAGATTCAATTTAGGAGAAGTGGAAAAATATATTTAAACTCGTAATTTCATACTATATAAGCCTTTATGAATTCAAATTTGCCATTGACACTTAACCTAACTCAAGGCAAGATTATTGAAAATAAGAAATGACTCTGCTTAAAATATGCTTAGGTTGCTTTATGATTCTTACTACACATGTGAGGTAGATGCATTGTATTCGTTATTTTACCCATTCCTTTGAGAAACAACACGAATGTGGTTATTTATAGCAATAGTGCAGAGGGAGAATCATTATAAATACAATGAAAATTGTATATGTGATGATAATATATTTATATCATTCAATAGATAGATAGATGGATACACTCATAGGACCCAGGCGTGGTGACATCCCTCAATTACAGCTGTTTGGAGTCCGAGGCAGTTCAACTCTAAGTTTGAGATCAGATTAGTCGACACAGTAAATCTTCATCTCAAAAATGTGATTTTGAAAAAGATGTATGTCGCAGGGGGGAGAACTAACCCAAATAATGTATGCACATGTGAATAAAAGAATAATAAAATTAAAAAGAGAAAAAGATTTATGTCATCCTTAGTTGAATACAAAAGAGTACATTGCACAAGATGGCAAATCTTGCTGCTTATATAAAAGAATACATCACAACTATCCAAAATGTAGTAATAAGAAAAACAAACATAAAACAAGATGGTTAAAGGCATAAAAGGGAACTTTTTAGCAATAATGATTCAGAAAAAACTCCCCAGAAATAAAAGGCAAGGGGATCATCAGTACAGCATTGAACTGATTAATAGATTTGATCATATGAAATTTATGAAGATTCAGATTATTTATCTACAAAATATATTCATGTATATACAAACTAAATGGAAAACAGCAGTGAAAATATCACATAATTGAATGAATGAAATAAAAAGGAACCAATACATATAAAAGCAGAAAAATTGGAAAAATAATTCACAGTTGTGAAAAACTCTGACAAACACCCAAGTCCATTCAACCTTAGTGGTAATGAAAGAATTGAAGCACTGGGCTGTTTAGTTTTCTTCTTTACCTATAAATAAAACTTTTTCATATTATACCAAGCACAGCAGTAGGTTCCGTGGAATCTACAGATCATGAACTATTTATTGTCCCATGGTAATGTTTGTAAGCAATCCTTTAATCTGATTTTTGTGATGGAAACTGAAACAAGTTCAACCATTCTCCATGTTAGCCATTAAAAGATAAAATACCCTTACTTCATTGTAAATCCCTTCAAAGCTAATACTGAATTTTTCTCCTCCCTAATTGCAAAACTCCTTAGTTTCTAATTTTATGGGAAACACTTTATACCACTTCTGAATTCATCTCATCCAATTAGACTTTTATTCTCATCACACAGTTGTCAACAATTTTCTATGCATTGCAGAGTCTGTATATCACTTCTTTATTCAAAATGTTTGATAAGTTGTCAATTAATGAGCCAAGTAAGCAAATGCAGTAACCTCTCAGCTCTGGACTAGGCTGTCTTTTTCCTCAGGTGACACTAGGAAAATTTTCTCAGCTCCTATTCTAGTTGCAAGACTTGTGGGGGTCTCTGACTCACTTGGACGGGGTCTCTGGGTAGTAGGTCTCCATGTGGAAGTCTGGGTTTCAACCTAGGTGTTAGATGAAGGAGTAAAAAACTTTTCCACAGACAGGACAGCGTGAGGAAGTAAAGCCTGGGTTTAAACTGTGCAAGAAGCCACCATGTCCAGTCCAGCCCAGGATTTTACTCTGAGTTAAAAATCCAAGGGAAATATTTATAACTCCCTACTTGCTCATTGTGTGCATTTCCTCTTGTTACTCCAACTTTAGAGCACCTGGTTTCCCTGAGAAGAAAGGAAAATTTTCATACTCATTCTATGTTCCCAGGAGGCCAGGTTACAGAGCAGGTGAACACAGTCTAATTATCCTCTGCACAAAGTAACCTGCCTCCATTACTCTAACCTCCTAATCACTTCTGCCCAGTTATTCACCACAGTTTTCTCCGAAGTCTGAGGTACTGGACTTTGCTAAATTCTTTGGACACCCAGAGCACTGACATACAGAAGGGACACAGCTCCTGACAACTTCACAAAATTCCTACTCTCTCTTCATCAAAGGAGAGAACTATGGTCATTTGTTGTAAAGCCATGAGAAATTGCTCCTGGCTTCAAGGTGATTTTCAGAAACATCAAGGACTTTTAGTCTTGCACAACAACTGAAGAAAGATCATTTGTTTTTATAACACAATTATGGTAGCATTGTTTAGATATTTTCTGCTACATGGTCTGAGGTTAGAATCTTAGATGAATTTTCCTATTTAATTCCTACAAAAGTGTATTATATTTGGTTAACACTCTTACTAACTCATTTTACACTTGCAGAAATAGACCTCCAAGTGGTTTAGCAATCTGTCCACCCTTATGAGGTTATGAATTTTGAGCTTAAATCAAAATTTTTCCAATTCTTATTCTGTAGGTCATTGTTCCTCCATGAGGCTGGTTATGTTTCCAAGAGACACTTGGCAATGTCTAGAGAAACTGTATTTATTTTTTGTTTGCATATAATAGTTGTGCATGAGATTCATTGTAAAATCTACATATGTACTTATTATATATCAAAATTACATTCAACA